AGCCCTTTTGTGTCTAATGTCATTTTTCTGTGATATAAAATAATGATGCCTCTTGATGTCCGTTCTTTCTTGGGTGATGAGTGTTTTCCACTCCCCATGGGACTCCCATGTATACTCTCTGTGCATGAACGCAATGGTCTTAGGTATGATTTTTTTTTTCAGTGAAAGTGGAATAGAGTACATGGCCATCCAAAATGTTGGATCTAGATATATTATACTTCGAAGAAATGTAAAAAGAAGGACTTGGTTTGGACTCTTTTTTTAGGGGGGGGGGGCATGTGTGTGTTAGCAGACAGTGGAGCACAACTGGGACAGCCACCAAGAACAATGTTCTAAACAACTGTATGTGGAGGCCAAAAAGCCCGTAAAACCAGAGGCAGGGAGTTCTCTGATAGTGTTGTACTCACGCTTTCCCAACTCTTCATTCAGTTTCTACAAAAACTCATCTTTTAGAAACTGAAGTTTGGTGCTGTAACTAAAAATCTGCTAAGACTTAAAGATTTTTCCTACCCTAAAAGTATAGAATTAATTTTTTTTAACTGCCAGAGAGCATGAGCACTCACAAGACTGAGAGTAAGAAAGCAGCCCCCTCCCCCATAAACACCATAGGACATGGTCACATTGCGATCCCTTTTCCTCCATGTCATCAAGATTTGGGGCAGAGGGACCAGCAGTTGGAGTAATAGCTATGTCACTGGACTCCCATGTGGTTGACTGCGATTCAAGTCCCAGACCTGGTGGCTTAAACTCACGCCAGGTGCATGTGCTTGCGTGCCCGGGATACTGAGAGGAGAATAGAGGAGAAGGGATTGCAGCATGCCCATCCCCCCTGGGGGGTGATTTCTCGCTTTCTGTCTCTCTGTCTCTGTCTTCAGTAACCGTGCCTAGAACAAAAACCTCTAAAAAAAAAAAAAAAAAAGATTTGGGGCATACAAGCACATGTACCTGGCATGTTTTTGAAGCTGTGGGGCCTGGGATTCAAACCTCAGGCAGTCTGATGGGATCTGGCTATATACACAGAGCTTAACTGCTATGCTACAGGGCTGGCCCTAGAATTTCTTTTACTTATGTTTGTAACTCTCTCACTCCTTACACACATCTTTGCAAGTGGAGACCTACAAATAGTAAATACCTCAGCAATGAATAAGTAACTCTTTACCTTTTTCTTTCTCTCCAAGAAAAGCAAAAGAGCTTATAAGGATTTCATCCTTGAGTGTTTCATTTTTTAAAATTTGAGGTGAGGGTGGTTAAGGCTGATATCTCCCACATGGTCAATTGCATTGTGTAAGTCCTAGACCCAGTGGCTGGCAAAACACGCTGGACACGTGTGCATGAGTGCCCAAGATCCCAACAGGAGAAAAGACGGGGAGGGGACTGGGCATGGCCATTCCCTCATGGCCAAGTTCCTGCTCTCTTGTTCTTGGCATGCAAATGTGTTTAAAGCAACAGGGTTTAAAAATCAAGGTGGAATTCCTGTAAGTCCCATTACAAAGTAAGCAGTTCAGTGGCATTTAGTACATACTGTGACTATACCACCATGTCTATCTAGTTCTGAAACATTTCCATTGCTCAAAATAAAACCCTGTATAATGAAGCAGTTGCCCCACTTTCACCTCCCTAGGAGCTTCTGGCAACCACCAATCCACAGTCTTTTTTTTTTTTTAAGGTAGGATCTAGTATTTTATTTAGATCTTCATTAAACTGTTGGAATTGAGAACCAGATATACATAATAAACCTCCAAAATAGATCTTGAAAGGCACTTTCTGCTCAGGGCAAGCAGTCATGGAATGACACGTAGCCAAGCTGGCTTCTCTGTACCACACCAGCCAGGTCTGCGCTCTCCGCGGCCAGCTGCACCAGCTCTGTTCTCCCCTCTGTTAACACCAGCCAGTCCCTTGTAGGACTACCACAAGGGTTTTCTGTGGAACACCTTGGCCTACCTGGGAATGCTGGAAACATGCTGCTAAAGGAATCATGGTGTTGAGAGAAAGAAAAAAATCTTTTAAAAACTGCTGAGGGGATGGCTTCTCTGTACTTATGCCATACCCCAGAATACAACGGATTATTTACTATCATGTTTTTGTTTTGTTTTGTTTTGCTATAGGTGCATGTGCTCATGAGAGGGTGGGTGTGTCACCGTGTGGATCCAGCCACTTTAACTACCATGTCACTGGCTGGCTCAATTTACCTATTTTTGAATATTTCCTATAAATCATATGAGGGCACATCAAAAAGTTCATGTAAAAATGAAATTAGGGAACCAGTAGTTAGCGTAATGGCTATGTCGCTGGACTCCCACGTAATCGACAGCAGTTTGCGTCCTGGACCTGGTGGCTTAAAACTCACGCCGGGCGCGTGTGCGTGCGTGCCCAAGATCCTGAGAGGAGAATGGAGAAGGGATTGCGGCGTGACCATCCCCCCGGGGGGTGATTTCTCTCTTTCTGTCTGTCTGTCTGGCGAGCGCACGTGCCCTAAAGC